TGTAAAAATATTTTAGATATGATCCAAAGGTATAAAAATATACTAAAAGAGTTATCAGAAATTGAATCATCTATGTATAGTTTAGAAACTCATGTATTATTTTTATATCAATCTTATGATGATGACAAAATGAATGAAATGAAAACGAAAATGAATTATCGGATCATATAATGAGTCATTGGATTGATAACTATTTTTTTAATGTTCACTAGTTTGTTGTTAGACTTTTTTAATAGAACAATTCTATTAAAAAATAAATTAATTTGTCTAACTACAAATACTATATTGCATTTAATTATTAATATCATAAGTATTATGAAAAATATTTTGGGGGTTTTTGTATTTAATAAGTTTTGCGAAAAATGTTTTTATTATTATTGCATTTCGATTTTTATTTTTAATAATTAAGTTTTGCGGAAAATATTTTTATTATTATTGCATTTCATAAGTTTTACGAAAAATGTTTTTAATTATTATTGCATTTCAATTTTCTGATCTTTTTGCACATTGTTTTCTTTGTGATCTTTTACTGATATATTATGAGGTGCGCCAGGACTGGTACATATATACTACTTATATATGATAAAATAGTGGTTTGTTATATATATTTTTTTTTGTCCATTACCATGTTAATTATATTTTAAATAAGTTAGATTAATATATTTCTTTTCCCATCACCATGTTAATTATGTCCAATATATGCTAATATGTTCCCTTATGTATTTGTATAAAAAATTTAATCCTAAATTTTCCTTTTTTTTTTCTACGTTTACGTTTGTTCCTATATATATATTTTCCATTTATCGTTATATTATTATATTTTATATCTAGTTAATACTACTATTTCTATACTGTGATCTGATTATATCTTTTTACTACAGGTCCAGACCAGCAATAAACTATTGTATTCAAGTTCTATTACATGATCAAGACTAGCATTAAATCGATTTTATTCTATTATATTGTCGTGTGTGTTTTTATCTTGCTAATCGAACCCGTGACGTTAGAGTGTGCTGCAAATCAAAGCATCATTCCACGACACTGGCTAAATGAACAAGACCTTGTCCTTGTAATTTCTTATTGAGATTTATTTGGCCATTCGATCTATTGGTGTTTCCGTTAAAAAATCCGTTATACACACGATTTTCGAACCAACCACCAAACGATCAAATTCCAACATTTTCCTTAAGTTGTCACACCGTTCGGTATATAATAGTGCACCATTTATCAATCTCCTATAATAATAGATCAAATATGCCCATATTATCTACCGCCCGATTTCTAATCTTATTTCTTTTCTGTTTCTATTCTGAAATTAATTTATTTTAAATTACTATTTTAGTTCTATTTTAATTAATTACTAGTATCTATCATTACTTCCTGCTCTTTTATTTACTTAAGTGTGTTAATTAAGCTATTTGTTAGTTGCCATAATAAAAGTTATAAATTCGTAAAAATTATACTTCACAACGTGGTGTTCTGTATGTGGTATTGTTTATATTGGTTGGAATTGTTTTACCAAGTTCTGGTACCCATATTCCCTAACCATTCTGTTGAATATGCATTTGGTAAATCTCACATCCGCCTTTGGGTCGTGAGCGTACGTTATCTTGTGTTTTTCTGTACAGATGCCGTTGTGCGTTTCGGTTAAATTCAACAGTCTACCATTTTTCTGGATTCTACCTACGTTAAATTCGAAAATTCTCTCAGTTGTCTTTCCCTTAAGTTTTTCTAAAAGCAAGTAGAAGTTATTCAGAAGTTAAATTAATCTATAAGTCCATTGTCAGTGAGTCCCGGTGGTTGCTTGTTCGTTCAGAATATGGTGGCAACTCCCACCGTTCCCGCACTGTCAACTATCAAGACTAACTAGTACCATCTCCATACATTATAATTTTTTTTCATATCCAAAATATTTCTTATATTCTATTTATTATTATTTCTTTTTTTTTTTTTTTATACTACCAGTCTTCATCACTATCCCTAACTACGTACCTATCTTCTACTTCATTAAAAATACTTTCTATTACATCTAAGTGATCCCTAACACTAAGTAACCCCATAACACCTTCTCTATAATTGTTAATATGTATATTTCTATAATTGTCATTATTACTATCGCTATCACTAATTTCTTCCACTTCATCCATATTGCTAATTGTACTATTCGGTGCTATGTTCCTTAAATTATCACTATCACTATCACTATCCGACCACCACAGACCAGCTGCTTCAGTCATATTCCTACTAATAGTGGTTGCTACTACATTGCTAACACTATTATTATTACTAAGTAACGTATTTATATTTATATTGCTAGGTACTTGTGTCCTACTATTAATTATTTCCCTACTAATACTATTGTTATTACGAATAATATTATTACCACTAACATTACTTCCGATATTACTATTATGCCCTAGCCTATTCAACCTATAGTTATTAATATTCATATAATTTTCCATGCTTCTTTATTTATTTGTTTATTTAATTCCCATAATTCAGTAATAACCCTATTTGCCAGTGTTATGTTGGTATTTAGTAGTTCTTCATTTTCGTTTCCAGTGAGTGCAGGTGGTTCCGTGCGGTTGTATATTATGCTTGCTACGCCTACGGGCTTAGCTCCGCCTATTCCTGGTATTCGGTTGACGTCCAGGTGGTAACGAAACGGTATTGTTGATACATTGCACGCGTATGGGTTTCAGAACCAACTCCATAACCCTTGACATAGTTCTACTATTTCCGGTTGTGGAAACTTACCAGGAAGGATGTTACCCCGATCTCCATACTAAACATCAATTAATGTCCTAAGGTTATGTGTAACTTGTCCCATAGGTTCTTCCCCCGTATAGCGAAATATTTGTACTTCGCATATGTAATTATCATTTTTTTTCAACACCATTACCACCAGACGACCTCCCGCCTGCACACTCATAATTATTTCAAATTCCGGGTCATCATTTTTATTTTCGCCGATTTGCACTAGTAGGCTGGTCCCATCTGAATCAGTGACCACCAGTGCTGTTATCTCCTCTTCCCTACAAGTTCTTTAATTTTAATAATTTGTTTTGTTATTTTGTTAGTCCAAACTACTATTGCGTTAACTATTTTTACTCTTACACTAATATAATTAATCTCTAGCTACGCATTTTTTTTCTATAATGAAGCTTGTACTATCCCGCATGGCACTAGAATTACCCAAGGAGATCTCCAGTAATCCGGAACAGGAGTATTGGGTAAGTAATGGGAAATCCAATACTACTCCAGTTATATTCCTGATGTCCTGTCCTACGGCAATCCTGTTTCAGATTACCTTCCCATATAATGTTTAGGCATTCCTAGGATACTATTTTCAATCCCAAATCAATCCCATGGTTATCCAATTAGACACAATTTGATTGAATTTCAGGACTAGCTTTATCCAACATCGATTAATCCACAACTGTGGATTACTTGAAGTTATTATAAATAACACAACAATTGGGTGCTGTTCACAAGATAGAGATCAGAAGTTGTCTTATTTTTGGGAGGCTAAACTCAAAATGATATACATATATAGTATATATATATATAGAGATCATATATGAATATATTATAACTATAATTATACCTAAATTTATATATTAGCAATAGTTTTTATTAAAATTCAGTCTTAAATAGTTAAAGATAGTGTGCGGGCCGGGAGCATAAAATATTAATACGCGCGCCCGGACACCAATAACTCACCTTACACCACTAACACCTAATTCCTGGAATTATGGAGAACAAGCTGGATGTGTAATGGTGTAATAGCTCGAACAGTAGTGGTCGGGATCGCCTAGCAATTACTGTCGGCTATGTAGTGCGTGTTGTGTAATTATGTGTAATTGTGTATAAATATGTGTATGTGTGTAGGTGTGTATACAATTAAACAAATAGGTAATAAAAAATGGTAACACGGTTTCTGATAGCTGAGTTGCTGTATAATACACAATAATAATAATAATACAAATATATAAAATTCACAGCAACACAGTAGGTATAAAAATATAATATCAAAGCCCTTATGGCTATAACAGTAGGTATATAATATTGTGGCCCTTATGGCTCAACAGAAAAACGGTATATATAAATGCCGGCCCTTATGGCCAAACAAATAACAATTTAATAAAATAATAAAAATCAAGGTTTAATTCACTGCAGCTATTAGAGCTACGTGAAAATATAAAAAGATTGGCCCTTCTGGCTCAACAGAATAGTAATCATATAAAAATAATAATAATGTTCGGCCCTTCTGACCAAACACAATATAAATATAAGAATATTATGGGCCTTCTGGCACATCAGAATATAATAATAATTGCAACAAAAAAATATAATAAATAACAAAATAACTCACAGTGGTTTGTGGAGCGCAGACTGGCCAGCTGGTCCTATGCTACAATAATATAAAATACATGCACGACAATGATATAATTAACAATAATACACTAATATGTTGCCTTTATGGCTTACAATGATGAAAATAATATGTGAACGATTCGGAAATAGGCCCTTCTGGCGCTGCAGATTATATATAAAAAATAAAGATAGTTTTCACTTGAAGCACTGGTTACTAATTGTTATACAAATTGAAAATAATAATTTTTTGTTTGCACACACCGTGCTAGCGACGTTTTATACGAGACGGACAAAGGAAGACAGTGTCACGGAGGCCGTGATAAGTAAAAATCCGCGTAGACGGAGCGGCGGCGTGCGATAACGTTTAATCTACATATTATATAATTCACAAGACACTGTAGGGAATATAGTGTGGTCACACTGACGTTAAAACTATGTGATAATGATACTTTTATATTATTCTTTCTTTTTGTGTTACATCTTGTTGTGTGACGTGTGTGTACATAATAAAATATTTTTACTTAATATTACTTTTTAGTGTTATTATATTTTTCACTCTAGTAAGGAGTAAGGACGCAATTACCTTACAATTGGTGACCTCGAGAGAATAATCACGCAAAAGTATGAATAACGCGAACGCCAACAATTCGAACTCGGTTGACACTACGACAAGTATAAACGTTAGTCGCGTATCGGTCAAGGCACCGCCATTTTGGAAAGGTGATCCCAATATATGGTTCGCGCAAATCGAAGCGCAATTTGCACTGAGTGGAATCACAAACGATACAACAAAATACTACCACGTTATAAGTGCGGTCGACACGGAGATTTTAACACAAGTAACAGATATTATTCAAAGACCACCGGAAGCGAATAAATACGACACTCTCAAGCACGACTAATTAATATTTTCACTGATAGTGAAGAAAAGAAATTGAGAAAACTCCTGAGTGAGGTTGAACTAGGCGACAGAAAACCGTCAACTCTGTTAAATGAGATGCAGCGTTTGAGTGGTAGTGCGCTGAGTTCAGAATTACTTAAATCGCTTTGGTTACAACATCTCCCAGTAGCCACGCAATCCTGTCTTACCGTCACTAGTGGCACTGTGGAAGAGCTATCTAAGTTGGCTGATAAAATCATGGAAATAGGACAACCACGGTCCGTCGCAACAGTTTCAAGTGACCCGACAGCTGAGTTACTGAAACAATTAATTAAAGATGTGGCAGAGCTCAAAATAGGACGCCAGTCACGAAGAGAATATGATCAGAAGAGAAGTTCTAGGTCGAGATCGCGCTCAACTTTTAAACCATGGGTACCAGCGAGTGATGGGTTATGTTTTTACCACACCAACTTCAAACATAAAGCAAAGAAATGTGTAGAGCCATGCAAGCAGTATGCTGCTTTCATTGCTAAATCGGAAAACTAAAAACTGTATCTACTCAGGCAGCGGTGGATACACCCTTTTCAGACTGCCACAATGTAGACAACAACAACACAAGTCATCGCCTTACTGTAACGGACAGACTATCGGGTCAACAGTTTCTGATAGATACTGGTTCGGATGTCTCAATAATTCCGTGCAAGGCAAGGCAAGGTAACACAACAATCTCAAATTATTTGCAGCTAATAATACAGTAATTAACACATATGGTAAGCAAATTGTAACTATTGATCTTAAACTACGGCGGGTGTTTAAGTGGGAATTCATTAAAGCACCAATATCTAAAGCAATAATAGGAGCAGACTTTTTGCACCACTTTAATCTAATGGTAGATATTCGTAACAAAAGGATAATAGATAAAATTACTAACTTATCTACTCTGTGTATTGAATCGCGTAGCTCAATATGTTCTATTAAAGCATATACATCAGAGCAGGATTTTACAGACTTAATTAAAAAATTTCCTAGTATTATTACAGCACAATCATTCACTACAAGACATGCACATAGTACCGTACACTACATTGAGACTCGTGGTCCACCAGTATTTGAGAAACCGAGGCGATTGGCACCAGACAAATTGGCCATTGCTAAGAAGGAGTTTCAATACATGATCGAACTTGGCATTTGCAGGCCTTCAAAAAGCCCATGGGCATCTCCCTTGCAGATGGTAAAAAAAAAAGGGCAAGACCAGTGGAGACCATGTGGGGATTACAGGAGGCTAAATGGAGTAACAATTGAGGATCGTTACCCAATAGCGCATATACAGGACTTCAGCCACATGTTGTCAGGTAAAAACATATTTTCCACTTTAGATTTAAAGAGAGCCTATCACCACATTCCAGTGCACCCGGAGCACATACCAAAGACTGCCATCACTACTCCATTTGGATTATTTGAATTTGTCCGAATGGGGTTTGGTCTGAAGAACGCTGCACAATCATTTCAACGATTCATAAATGAAGTGTTCATTGGACTTGATTTTTGTTTCATATATATTGATGATATACTAGTGGCTTCACAGAGCGAGGAAGAGCACAGAACACATTTACTTTTGGTCTTTCAACGTTTGGAAAAATTTGGCTTAACAATTAATATACAGAAATGCTGTATTGGTAAAAAGACTGTGAAATTCTTGGGCTATAATATAACTGATAAAGGCACTGAACCAGATCCAGAAAGAGTATCAGTTATACAAGATTTCAGACAACCTAAGGTAATTAAGGACCTCAGACGTTTCTTAGGGATGATTAACTTTTATAGGAGGTGGATTCCTGGAGCAGCAAAGAGCCAAGCAATTCTAAACAATTATCTTAAGCAGTCAACAAAGAACGACAAGACCCCAATACAGTGGACGGCAGAAGCAATAGAAGCTTTTAATATGTGCAAAACCAAGTTAGCCGAGGTAACTATGCTAACGCATCCACGAGTAGGTGCTAAACTTGCATTGACCACTGATGCTTCAGACAACGCAATAGGCGCGGTGTTGGAGCAAAAAGAAACAGACGGAAACTGGGCGCCAGTAGCATATTTTTCTAAGAAGTTGTCTTCTACTCAACAAAATTATAGTACGTATGACCGTGAGTTATTGGCAATATATTCGGCAGTGAAACATTTTAAGCACATGCTAGAGGGCCAAATATTTGTAATTTACACTGATCATAAACCACTAGTTACAGCGTTTGAGCAAAAATCAGTGAAGGCATCACCAAGACAGTTGAGGCAACTAGACTATATAGGACAATACACCACCAGTTTGGAATATGTATCCGGAAAGGATAATATACCAGCAGACTTCTTATCAAGGATTGAAACAATAAACTTTCCAGGTACCTACACTAGATTATGAAAAACTGCAGATTCAGCAGGACAATGACCCAGAGCTGAAGCACCTACTAACATCCAAAACAGGTTTAAAATTGAAAAAATTACAATTGGGTTCCAGCAACACATGTATTTATTGTGACGTTTCTACTCATAACGTTAGACCATATATACCAGTGAACTTCCGTAAGGCTGTATTTGATTTAATACACAATATAGCACATCCAGGACAACGCCAAACAGCAAAACAGGTTGCAGCGCGATACGTATGGCCATCCATGCATAAAGATTGTACAAAATGGGCAAGGTCATGTATACAGTGCCAGAAGGCAAAAGTGCAACGTCACACAAAAAGTCCATTCCAAAAGATCAGTGTTCCAACTGCCAGATTTCGGCATGTCAACATAGATTTAATTGGACCATTACCACTAGTGAAAGGTAACAAATACTGTCTCACCTGTATCGACAGATATACTGGTTGGCCGGAGGTTATACCATTGCCAGATATGACTACAGAGGTAGTCGCAGAAGCATTTTTGAGTGGATGGATTGCTAGATATGGAGCACCAGAGCAGATTACAACAGATCAAGGAAGAACATTTGAGAGCAACTTATTTACTGCATTTACAAACCTTCTAGGTATTAGCAGAACGCGTACAACACCGTATCACCCGCAAGCAAATGGGAAGATAGAGCGATTCCATAGGACATTGAAGCAAACCATTATGGCATATGGCAAAACAGACTGGATTAGCGTTTTACCTACAATATTATTAGGATTAAGATGTGCTTTAAAGGGTGAAGAAGAGATAACACCAGCTGAAATGGTGTAAGGGCAGGTATTACGGTTACCAGGTGATTTCTTTACTGAAGAAAAGGCAACAATATTACCTTCCACATAAGTAACACAACTGAAGGAAAAATTTAATGTAATATCACCAGTGTTAGCTGTACACAATACTAAAATGAAACCATTTGTATCGGTAGACCTTAAGTCCTCATCTCATGTATTCATAAGACATGATGCTGTAAAGAAAGCTTTACAAATGCCGTATGATGGCCCATTTAAGGTGATTGAGCGTTCAGAGAAGTTTTTTAAGGTGGACGTGAATGGAAATGAGAAGAATATATCTGTGGACAGACTTAAGCCCGCATTCATGCCTTATGAGAATCCAACACAACACGACCACTCATACTCGGCAGAAATAACTGATAGAAAGAAGAAGGTCAAGTCGGTAGATTTTAAAATATGATACTCAAATTAATAATTTATTGTAATATTCCTAATATTAGTGATATTAGTAATAATTTTATTATTTTTATTTTTAATTATATAATATTGTTTTATTTTGTTAATGTTATTTTTTTTTTAGCTTTGATTATCAGAGGAACTGATTAAGGATAAACTTTTAAGTTTTATATATTTTGATATGTTTAAAATTTTAATTGTTATTTTTTTTATTTTATTACTTTTATGGAATATTATATAACCGCAATATTCCTTATTATGTAGACCCGACTCCGTCTCTCGGAGGGGAGTAATGTAGGGAATATAGTGTGGTCACACTGACGTTAAAACTATGTGATAATGATACTTTTATATTATTCTTTCTTTTTGTGTTACATCTTGTTGTGTGACGTGTGTGTACATAATAAAATATTTTTACTTAATATTACTTTTTAGTGTTATTATATTTTTCACTCTAGTAAGGAGTAAGGACGCAATTACCTTACAACACATTCAACGATAATAATAATAAAACAATACAAATAGTGATATGTGAGTGTGTGTGTGTGTGTGTGTGTCCAGCTGTTCCCCGGTGACCGATGTCCTATATTCTTATTTTTCTTTAATTGGGTAGGTACTATGTTGCGTAATGCTTTTATGTTGCGGCGGCAACAGATAGTATTTAACATATAGAAATCGTTTACTCTTTTTTTTTTTAAACTTTAGATAAATAGTAAAGAAGTCAATAAATAAGAAAATATTTAATAAATTGTAGGAAGTTTCCTTATTTTATAAAACAATTAACAATATTTTCATATGTATAATTTTTTTTTTATCATATTTTGTAACAATGTACATAATATAAAATTATTAGTCTGTTCCTGTATGACTATAACACTTTAATTAAAAAAAAAAAAATAAATGCTTTAAACTTTTAAGTACTTTAAGAATAACAAACAAATATTAATTATTAACTAAAACTTCTTAGGCATTAGTTTCTTTCCTTTTTAGTCTTTATTTGGAATGACGTAGCCAACTACTTGTTGTTTTAATAACAATATCATCTGTGTAGTTGTTGGGAAATTTATTTCTTCCAGTTTCTGTGAAATGATGAAACCTTATATATTATAAATTATAATACACAATTTAACCATCTATAATAATTATTACCACAAATAATACTGAATAATTTCAAGGTCTTCATACACAGTTTTGGTTCATTTCCAAAACATTTATTTATTTTTCCAGTAATTGTAATACTGGTTACCAAAGAGTTTGTGAATAAATTATCCAAACAAGTTTTGACAAAAGTACCAATATCTGATCCGCCATACATTGAAATAATTTTTGACTGCAATTTACACAATAAAATAAATTTATATAATAAAATTCAGTTAGTAGATATTAGTTTTAAGTTAGCTTACCAAGTATTGGTAAAATAAATCATCTTTCAAAAGGCCTTCAATATAATCAAGATCATCATAGTTTTTTAATGGAAATTTTTTGTAGTGAATAGAATATTCTTTTTCAAGTTTAAATTAATTACCAGGGCAATTATTATTATCATTGACTGCTAATTGATTGAAAATACGCTCTTGGTTAGAGATGATAAGACAATTCTGAGCTTTAATTTCTAAAATACTTTTCATCAATGCACTAAATTGCTTCATCTTTATCCCTATAAATATACCAAAACAAATAAAAATAAAACATTTATTTAACAAGATTTAGTTAGAGTCACTGATATTAGTATGATAGTACATCACAATATATTATTTTAGTTAAATGTTACAATGCTACTTTTGTTTACTGGGGAAGGTGATTCATCTGACAATAAAGTGTGACATGCTGCATGTTTGGATGAATTATTGGATATATCAGCACTTGAAGTTTCCCGAGTGTTTCTTGTTACTAAACAATTATATTGTGTAAAACTCACAAAAAAATAGATAACATTTAAATATTATTAGGTTACTTTTGTTCACTGGAGAAGGTGATTTGTCTGTGAATAAAGTACAACATGCTGCATGTTTGATTGATTTTTGGATAGAACAGTACTTGAAGTTTCCTGAGTGTTTCTTGTTACTAATCAATTATATTGTGTAAAACTCACAAAAAAATAGATAACATTTAAATATTATTAGGTTACTTTTGTTCACTGGAGAAGGTGATTCGACAGAGAATATACCATGAGTTCTGCGTTTAATTAAATCAATGGTTTTTGCATCTTTCCTATTGTTTGTTTATTTTCATACAAATATAAAACAAATGATTAGTTTTAAGACATTTATAGTGATGCTGTTAAATTTATTTGATTACTTTTGTTCACTGGAGAAGGTGATTTGTCCGTGAATAACGTATGACATACTGCATGTTGAGATGAATTGTTGGATAGATCAGTACTTGCAGTTTCCAGAGTGTTAAATGTTCCTATAAACAGATTTTATGTAAAACTCACATTCTATAAAAAAAAAAATAAGTACCTTTAAATTGTTTTAAATTACTTTTGTTTAATTGAGAAAGTGGTTCTTGAAACATACTAGGTGAAGGTACATCAGGATAAATAATATTGCTGCTTGTAATAGTGCCATCTAAAATGTAATATGAATACTAGTCATGTGAGTGGATATTACTATAGAAGAATAGTATTCAGACACCTATGTTTAATGAATAAGAAATCACACAATACCTTTATGCGGAAGAGTAAAAGATTTATTCTGATCAGGACTGTAGTTATTATTTTTTTTTTTGGCTCTTATTTGTCTTTGAGATTTAGCCAATGCTTCGATCTCAGTATCGCACTCAGAATAGTTGAACTGTATAACCGATGATAATTTTTCAAATGCTCTTTCAAAACTGTCTATAATAGTGGGTACAGCAAAAATAATATTATTAATTAATTAAAATAGCATTACAAAAATTACTTATAACTTATATAATATTGAACTTACGACTTGAGCCTAAGATTTTTTTAATTGACCAAACTGGCCAAAAATCTGTTGGATCTGTCATGTTTTCACAGCTTTATTATACTGGTTTTCAGTATGAACATCTGTGCCAGGTCTTGGTAATTTACAAGAATATCTTTCATTATTTTTATTTTGAAATAACCAAGTCTTCGGTATACACTGGACCGTACTATCTTCAAATTCCACAATCAATTAATTACTAAAAAATAATAAACATAATAATTATTTGTAAAATTGTATCATAATAATTGAACTAGTAGGATTTAAAATATATACAAATGGGATTTTCAAATAAACTTACTCAGTAAGTAGGTATAATCAAATGGAATTTCCTTCATTTTAATAATTACAATTACTTTTGACTATACATATTATAATACGTTTATTATAATCTTAAATAGTGATAATAATCTTAAGTTAAAATAACAAGTATTGTTTTAAAAATACATTTTTCTAATAGTTGTATGTTTCTAAATAACATCCAATTAATTGTTAGTATAACAATGATATATTACAAAATATACTTATGATAATGTTTAAATTTAAATTCCAAGTAAATAAAAATTATTATAACTAATATTAACATTTTAAATCCAAAGGATATTTTTTTATTCAGTGTGATGGAGTGGAACTACAGCCATTCTGGTCGAATCCAAACACATTGGAAAAGAGAAGTACTTAAATTCAATATCTTTTACTGGCCATGTCATAAATTCAGATAAGTCATCCACTTCATAAATACCTAAAGTAGATGATGGGCATGGTAATTTGTACAGATCAGATTTTTTAAGGTATTCTTTGCCAATAATAACAAATACACCATCATTATCTTTTAAGGCAATGTTGAAAATTTTATTCTATTCCCTTTGACACAGCAACAGTCATTTTTTTGGTCTTTTATTATGAAAGTCATATCATTAAATTTCAGACACCAATCATCTACATAAATAATATAAGTTATTTACATTTTACTAAGCAATAAAATATAATATAAAGTAAAAATATATTTCTTTTATTATTTAATATTGAAAAGCATATTATTTATTAGTAATTTGTATTAATTGAAATATACTTTATTTGAATTACACAATCTACATATTATGTATATTATGTATGATGTATCAAACGTATGTACACAGCATACAAATATACAGTATATTATTATGTACATACATATCTTTTGAGTCTTAATGATTGATGTTGTCACCTCGTTTAAATACATTATTAAAAAATATTATGAAATTATAAAACAAACATTATACAATTATTAGTATTCAATACATATTATTGGTTATATGCAGTTAGGCCATCTAAATTGTTGTCCACTTCTTTCAAATTAACTTGATCATCTAAAAAAACAGTTTTTCAATACAATTAAATAACATTATAGTTAAAGATTTATACCAACATACTTAATTTATTTTGTAGTTTGTTGAAATATTAAAATCCAATATTGTTATTTATTACTGTTATCATTTGCAAATGTAATTGAAGATAGCAATATGAATATAATTTTAATATACATTGTAACGTCACAGCATTTTTTGCATTAATATTATTAATATCATAAACACACCTGTACCCACATTACCATTAATAAACATACCTTTTTATATATTGTTATGATTATCGCGCGCTAATGCAGAAATGACCGCAGTGTTATGCAATAAATGTTCCCCGTTCCCCCCTTCATCATGCAGTGTTCGTCGACGACGTGCCGTGGTTGCCCGCCGCCCGTCATCTCCAGCGCTTTTGTCGCGTCCGCCGGTACGGCCCGCAGGCAATACTGTACTCCCCAAATATACTGTATCATCCCACAAAACGACGACACTGACCTGCCCCACCCACGACAAAAAGCTTCGCCGCCGGCAACAGACCACCGATGTCGCCGGGTCTCCGCTCAACACAACTCACTCACTTTTTTCTCGTCTTGAATCACGGACCACGGTTGACTACAGCTCCACATGTCCACACGTCACTACTTGAGAACAACGACCGACTCGAACCCGCTGTGTATCACGCCATACTTTGAGTATACGTTACTTGTCCAAAGTAC